CTGGAGGGGAAGGGCACTGGGGCCTTGCATCCCAAGTCCCTCCCCACAGAGCAGCCAGCCCTGACTCAAGACTTGTAGTGGTTGAGGCACAGCACGAACAAGCATTGGACTGTGCTGACGGGGAGCCACGATGGTCCCCAACCCAAAGGTCAGACCTATGAGCCACGTCCTGTATGGGGAAAGGTGCTGGCACATTCCAAAGCAGCACCGTGTGTATGTGCTTCATCTGGCTTTAGGCACGTTCTAGAAGGTTGCTTACCACACAGAGAGTACTCAGGAGCTTGGACTGCAAGAGGGTAAAGGAGGTAGGGACTCTGGACTAGCTTAGGAACTATCTGATGTATGATTCTGATGTCCTGAGTCTCAACCTGAGTTCTCCTGGCTGAAAACAGGCAAGTGTAGAGTAGATAGATAGATAGATAGATAGATAGATAGATAGATAGATAGATAGATAGATAGATGTGAGAGATCATTTAATTTTAATTTTAGATTTACAGAAAAATCACAAAGATAGTACAGAGGACTCCTCCTTATCTTTTACTTCTTGGTTTCTTCCAGTATTCTCATGAACAAACATTGGCACATTATTACTAATTTAACTCTAGACTTAATTCAAACTTATTTTACTACTAAGGTCCTTTTTCTGCTCCAAGATACCACATTGGATTTCAGACTAAATTATTTATTGAAGTTTCTTCCCTGCTCTAGTTCCGTCTACAATGAACACATGAGCAAGTGCTCCCTCAGAGTCTTTCTGGGGCTGATCCTTTGCTAACTCCTGTCAAGTCTTCACATAACTCCTAGTACATTTGGAGCCTTCCTTTTTTTAATCAATTGTGGGGCTTGAACTCAAGGCCTAGGTGCTGCCGTTGAGCTTTTTAGCTTAAGGTTAGTGCTCTACCACTTTGAGCCACAGCACCACTTCCAGTTTTCTGGTGGTTGATGGGAGATAAAGAGTCTCACAGACTTTTCTCCCTGAGCTGGCCTCACATCTCGATCCTCAGTTCTCAGCCTCTTGAGTTGCTAGGATTACAAGTATGAGCCACTAGTGCCTGGTGAAAAAGAAATCTTACCTTGTAGAAATTAGAAAATAATGAAAGATTGAAAACACCATGGGCCCCACAAATGGCACAGTGGTGGAGAGAGGCAGTAGCAAAATGGCTGTCCCTAAAAGGAGATGCCAAACCTACTGGTCAGAACTATATGGAAATCCCTGGTTGAAAGGGGGAGAGACGGTTAACCAGAAATGTACTCATTACCTTACTTATGTAACTGGAACCCCTCTGTACACCATCTTGACAATAAAAAGGGGAAAAAAACATAAAAAAGAAAGAAAAGGGGAAGGACTTTCAACTTCCAAGTGCCACTTACCCATTTAGAAGTTTTGTAAGGCTGGGTGGGCACTGGTGGTTCACTTGTAGCCCTGTAGACATTTAGGAGGCTGAGATCTGAGAATCCTTGTTTGAAGCCAGCCCAGGCAGAAAAGTCTTTGAGACTCTTATCTCCAATGAACCAGGAAAAAAAAAAAGCCAGAAATGGAGCATCAGTCTTGGGAGGAAAAGCCAAGGGAGAGCATGAGGCCATAAGTTCAAGTCCCATCATACACACACACACACACACACACACACACACACCACAAAGTAGCTTCATGACAGAGACCTTGATCAGTCTTGGGCCTCAGCAGCAAGAAGTGGCAAAGGTGGATCACCTGTCTACCTAGCAGGGAAGACAGTGAGAGGCAGACTCTAAACAGCTGTCCTACAGCTCGGTGATTCTACAGACAGATTTGTCTTCTGCACCTTGGGGAGGCACAAAGCCCTTAGCTCCCATAGATCATGAAAGAATCAGCTGAAATCTGACTCATGAGGTTCCCAGGGCTGGCACTAGGCTCCTGGCTGGTTGATTTGTTGGTTCCTTTGTTTGTTTGTTTTGGGGGAGGGGTGGGTGATTAAAGAGGCACTTGTCCTCCCATTCCCAGCCAAAGCCAGTTCCATAATCTTCATTGCTACAGCGCCTTTCTTCATCCAGAACAAAATTAGGCAAGGAACCCAATCACGCTACCTATGTCATTTATTTGGAAAGGAAGTAAAGAGCCAGGCTCGCCCAGATCCCATCACACAAAGCCTGTTTCCACATGATCACATGACAAATGAAGGAACACAGCAGAGAAACAGGCCCCTGTTCAAGCTGAGCAGATGAGCATCAAGTAGACTGTCGGTTCAAGGGCAGCTAGGTCTTGAGGGCCTGGGTGCTAGGCTTCTACTTTTATGCACTTAACTTTCTGACTTGGAGGTCCATGAAGCTTGGAGTCCCTGGAGGGCATCCATCTAACCATCCATACATCCCACCCCTCCCCTGCTCTGTCTACACATCTGTGCATTCATCCACCCATCCATCCATCACCCACCTATCCATCTACTTATCTGTTCATTGCCATCCTCCATCTGCCCCTTCATCACTCATTTACCTGTTCACCCACCCATCCACTACCCATCACTCAGTTTTCCATCCTTGGCACTGACACGTTCTTTGTGGAAGATACTGTGTTGGATGCTGAGGAGCCAGAGAGAACCCGACTGCCTCAGTCCCTACCTTCATGGAACTTTCCTTCCAGCAAGACAGGATGTGTAGCAGTCATCTGTTTTCCTGTGGGTCTACCACCATGTCTGGCTGGACGTTGATGGCTATGTTTGTTGGACAAGTGATGGGTCTGTTATTGTCTATATTGCTTCTACCAGCTTGTTTGATGTACTGGGCCACTTTTGAAAACATTCATGGAGCTGAAAACAGTATTTGTCCTGAGCCCCCTTCTCATTGTCATTCTTACCAAAAGACATAGTCTAAAGATCTGAGTTCATATCCCAGCACTGAGCTGTTTTCTTCTGAGTGGCTACCTAAAGGCATATGAGTCTTAGTTCCAAATAGTTAACTAGCTTACTCCTCTGTGGCATATATAAAAGGAGAGAAACTTCTAGAAACTGTGACATTAAGAAAAAGTGATATGAAAGAAATTCCCAGAATGTGTGCCACAGAGATGTAACTTGATGATTTACTCAAATGGCAAATACATCAAGATCACAGAAAGAAATCAAGGCGGTCAGCAGCCCACGGCCACCTTCTATCATCCAGTCAGTTGCCATCACCCCACATTTGTGCCAATTCTAGAAGAGATTAAATTTATGAATTTGTCACATGTCATCCCAGCCGTCCTGACCCATATTCCTCTCCATTTAGTACATGTAACAACAGTACAAAGGGGTGTTGTAACCTTAATTGCTTGCAAAGTGTTTTGAAATCCTTAGTTTGAAAGCTTGGGGGGAGGGGGAGGGCTGAGAGTATGGCTGGGTGGTAGAGTTCTTGCCTAGCGTGCACAAGGTTCTATCCCCAGAAGTGGTAGGGAGGAAGGACTGGCCTGGGGAAGCAGGGAGAGCTCAAGTTTGCAGAAATTCAAAATATTTGCACTATACATTATGTATGTGTGCACACATACACACATATGCATGCCCAAGGAATTGTGTCCAGAGCAGATGGGGAGACTGAGGCATGGAGGCACCATAGGTTATGTTTAAGTTCCGGTTCATAAGAGTGCGGCCACCCCTGACCCTTCCAGTTTCCAAGTTCCTCAGACATCTGGCCATTCCCCTGGCTTCAGATGTACCTTTCCATTTCTTTTCAGTTCCAAGTCACCTGGCCCGATTGTACTAGTTTCAGTGGCATGGGTGGCTGCTGGGGACAGGAGATGGGGGAAGGTTCTTCCAGCCTCAGGGCTAGAAAAGGACCGTTGTGTCACCTGTGACCTCCACCTCTTTATGTAGGGCCAGGGCTGTTGAGTTAGGTCTTAGGACAGTTTTACTGTTTGGTTAAGTCTATGCTGTGAGCTGGGTATGGTGGTACACACCTATAATCCAAACCCTAGAGGTTGAAGCAGGAGGATCACCAGTGCATGGCAGTTTGAACCAGGCAGCACCATCTTATGTCAAAAAAAAAAGTAAAGATATTTAAAAATACACTCCACACCAGGTGCCAGTGGCTCACACCTATAATTCTAACTACTCAGGAAGCTGAGATCTGAAGTTTGCAGTTCCAAACCAGTCTAGACAAGTAAGTCTGTGAGACTGATCTCTGATTAATTTATAAAAAGGCTGGAAGTGGAGTTATGGCTCAAGTGGTAGAGTGGTGGCCTTGAGCAAAAAAGCTCAGAGACAGCACACAGGCCCTGAGTTTAATCCCCAGGGCCAGCAAAAATAAAGTAAAATATAGTATGTGTGTGTGTGTGTATAAATTTTCCCATGTACTCCATGGTGGTTCTAGAAAATGGCAGGAAAGGCCAGTAGAGTTCCTGGAGCACTGCTGTTGGCCTTCCCAGACCTCACCGGTGGATTCAGTGTATGAAATTCACTGGACTACATACTTACACATGGGTTTTCCCTATATACTTTTGTTGCACTCTACAATGTATTTGAAAAACAAATCCATCAGGATGCTGGCTTGCTTTGTTTAGATAAGATTCTGAATAGTGAAGCTATAGATGTAATTAAATCAAAAATCCTTTCTCTACCTTTGTGATTGAAATCAATTTTCTTCTTTCCATTTCCAGTTTTACTCATTAAACGAGTGGGGACTAGCTCCATGTTTCTCAACAGGTCCCAGTACATCTTCAGAAACCTATGTGACCCTCCACAAAAATGACCAAGTTCTGTTGGAGACTTGGAACGTTAAAATCTTTGGTCAAATTCTTCCAAATAGGACTAAAAGCCAGAGGAATTCTTCCAGCTCGAGGACACTTCCCTAAGCTCCCACCAACCTGGTTTCAACGAATCCAACGAATCCCACTCATCAAAGTGAATCTGAATTGGCAAAAAAAAAGCAGTCCAGAAAAGGCCATCCTTAGCAGTCATGTCTACCTCCTGTCTCTCAGGAGGCTCAAAATTCTGGAGTCTGTTTGGGGGAACAGCAAAAGGCAAAGGCCGATTGCCTTCCAAGGAAACTCGTAACACCGCTTTACGAAACCAGATTTATTAAAATTTCTCTAAAGTCAGCAACAGCCATCTCACTGGTCACACACATACAGAAAGGATCTAGTGTTTCTAGCAGTCCTGGCAGAAGTCCCTGCCAGCTCAGAGTCCTCAGTTGGATAATGTATCCACAGATACACAAGTCAAGCAACCACAGGGCCTCCATGCAACAGAGGCCCAGCCTTCCTCCTCCAAGTCCCATGATTCCGTCAAGATAACATTGCCGACGATCGTTCACATTTCACGTGGTTCCGGACATGCAGGCTATTCAGACACAATACACACAGACAACACCACAAGCCTCAGTCACACAACAAAACATTCAGACATCTGTATAAAAGGTAAAATAACTGTACAAAGTACACAGTACGTGAGGTATACACAGCATTCTCACAATGCATGTTAGTAGTTTGCCTTGGGATAGCCCTTGAAGAAACCTGCCTGGTTTTGTGCCATTTCTCAAAATACAGTATGTTTTCTCTACCCGCTTAACCATCTGATGCCAGCCCTGGGCCAGACAGCAACTGAGATAGGTTTTGTGTTTTGTTTTGCATCAGTACTTGTGTTTTTAAAGCAATTTGCAGTTTCTTCTGAGAAGTTTTACTTTTCGGGGGAGTGAATTTACCTCTGGAGACATTCAAGCAAGAAGCTGAAAAGGAAATTTCTGCCCAGGTGGTGGCAGCAACAACAACAACAAAAAAGTGAGGATGGGATCATTTTTGAAGTTTCTTCGGACTTAAATAAAACCGCAGCTCCTGTCACTCTGGCAACTGGCAAAGTGGATGCATTCACAAACCACACCGCATGTGAAATTCCAAAAACCCATCATGCAAAAAGCGGAAGCCCCAGGTAAAATGCCAGGGGCAGACCAGTATCTTGGGGGAGGGGTGGAGAGGGCTGTTCCTGGATCATTCAAGAAGTTAGTCTGAACATCCTTTAAGACTCCAAAATCCACTTTCATCCAAGTACAAAGATGTTTAACATTTGCTCCAATGAGAGCCAGGCTAGGGAGTTGGCTTATCTTTCTCCTTCTAGACAAAATGTTCCACCCTGAGATATTCTTGGGGAAAAGAAGTAAAGGATAAAATGGTAGCATACTGGAGAAGAACCTAAAAAAGCAACTGTTTTCAAGTGATCAAATTATGTTAAAACCAAAACAAATGAAAACTTCAGTCTCTGTGCTCAGAGTTCTGAGATAGCTCCATGTGAATCTTTTGACACTTTTCCATGGTAAGCTGAGGAGGGGAGGGGTCAAGTTTTCAAGGTCAGAAGAAAGGCATTATTGCATATGAGGTCTTGGCAGAATCTGGAGAAGAGTCTGAGTATGGGGTTCAGGGTTCAGGCAGGCTCTTAAGCTCTTAACAGAGCAGTCACTGGAGCAATAATGAGTGTTAGAGCAACCTCCCCCCAAAAAAAGAGCTTCTGATCAGAGAAACTATGGTAGCCAAGTCCAGCTATCAAAGACAAGTTCAAAGATGGCAGCAGGTTAATTGACCCAAATTATTTGTCATCCTGTTAAAAATGGAGTTACTGCCACCTCCCCCCCCGAAAAAAAATGCCATGATTTACTTCCTTTCCCATTCAAATGTTTGCGCTCCGAACACTTGACCGCTGGTGCAGGATGCTCTTCATATAGAGATCCAGCATCCTCAAGTCCGCCAGAGCAGCCAGTGGTGGTTCTGTACAAAGAAGAGCCAGTTTCCAGGGCAGCAGATCTGTTCCCATTACTCAAGTTACTCGTCCCAAACAGCAACAAGGGGAGCCACATTGAGTTCTACGGTGACAATCTCAGTGCAGTCCCCAAGATGGTGGTGGCACCACCATGCCAGAGGGGCTGTCCATCTTCAGCAATGGAAATGCCATGTGTGAGAATTGAGGTTTCTGAGGTTTTCTGGGAGGGAGGATCAACAGAAGAAGGAACTAATGTCACTGTCCTCCTGGTACTCTGGGACAATCTGGTCTGAAATTCCTATCTCTGAGTCAATGTACCCTTGTTCCAAGACAGACTGGAACCAGGGGTGGAGCAGGATTTCAGGGGCCGTAAGTCTCTCGGAGGGTTCTCTTCTCAGGAGGCTGCGGATGAGGCACCTGGCTTTGGGGGAAATGTGCTCAGGAATGCAGAACTGTCCACGTCGAATTTTGGAGAAAAGAGCACTAGGGTCTGAGTCATGGAAGGGATATCGTCCCACCAAAAGGGTATAGAGCATCACCCCTAGACTCCAAACGTCCGCCGCCTTTCCAGAGTAAGTCCCCGTGGTATTAAGGATCTCGGGGCTCACATAGGCTGGGCAGCCATGCTTATCGGACAAAGCATCATCTTCACCCTTGATGATATGTGTGTCTTCCAGACTTTCCAGTCTGAGCTGGGTTCTGTGGGAGAGAAGAACCAAGTGATTACTCCCAAGTCAGCTGCTATGAAATACCACGGCCTGCCCAGTAACAGTGCCCACAAGCACAAAAACAAAGGCCCCAGGAAATGTCATTGACCCCCTTCATCCAGTAAGCACTGGGCCTGTAAGCACCCTGGACTGGAGTTTTTACAAACCAACACAAACTGCAATCAATGTTTGTAAAGCACCTGAGACAGTGCCTGGGGTGGGGAGGTATGATGCAAAGTCCCAAATAGCATTCGTGATGCTAGAACTTGTGAGAGATACCCTAATAGGGCTTACACAATTGACAAAGTTCACATTGCAGAACTGAGAGACTGTCTCGGGAATGCTGACATTTTCAACTTGAGTTACGGGGGAAGAGCAGATGACCCTCCTCTCACAGGGAGAGCCCATCACCTCTCTCATCATAACCAATGACGGCTGGAGTTACTTGAACCCCCCATTCTGCATTAAAGAACTTGACCCCAATTTCACTGTTATCACACACAGCTTGCTAGAGCATAACATATTTCTCTCTCTCTATACACACACAATACATATACTATGTTTATGTAGATATAACAAACTATCCACCCAAACCCCAGATGTTGATAGCCAAAGCAAGAAGTTGAAAAGGATGCTCATTACATTTGCTGAGGATTTAAAATGCAAAGAAACCTTAGCCTGAGCAGAGAAATGATGTGAACAAATGAATGTGGCTGATGTATTTAAGGGACACAGGTCCCCTAAAAATGAAGAACACCTACACTGGCACACCCAACATCTAGGCTGGCAAATCAGTGCATACACGTATTTATTTTCTCTGTGGGTTTCTGTTCAGGTAAGCAGTCTGGATAAAGCTTTGGTCACAGGCTGTCTTGTCAAGTTCCTGGTGCTTCTTTATTTAGAACCAGCCATCCAAGTGTCCTGGGTTCCCCCAAAGGCCAAAGGGAATGCCTAATGTCCAATGGGTGGGGGCTGCCTCTCTCTGCCCCTGGGAAACAGTTCAGTTCCTTCCTGTAAGTCATCTGTTGTGAAGTTAAATGCAAACATTCGGAACTGGCTGATGGATCAATTCATTTTCCTCTCAAAAGGTCTGGCGGGTGGTTTTTTTTTTTCCCCCTTCTTCTGCCTTCCTGTTCCCTGGAGTGTAGTATACATGTGCTAACTTTGGTATGTCCTCAGCGTGACCTCCTGGTCGTTATGTAAAATACCCATTGGTTCTGTAAACGGAAAATATGACTCAACCAGCACTGTCAGCCCCTGATTGGCTGCTAGAGTACTAAAACCCTGCACCTGTGCTGGTTACCCGAATAGCGTCAGCCTGCCATTGCTTAACCCCCGGGTTGCCAAATCTGTGCCCATGACATTGGCCTGTGCAATGCAGATTTCAAAAGCTGGTAAGGAGGTGTGTAAAGGCATGTTTCAGAAAAATGCATGCCAGTACTGAAGCAGCAGGTTCCAGGAATTGGCTACTTCATTTCAAACTGTTTGCTTTTGTGAGCTAATCAGTATGTTTCAATACTTTTTTTTGCAAGGTCAGATACAAAGTCATACTTGAAGGCAATTCAACTCTACACTTTTTAGTGTGTTCTGGAGTTTTAAAGGGGGGGAATATACAAATAGGACTAGCCTTATGTGACTCCTCTGGGCTCCACAATTCTACAGGATTAATATTGCTCCTCATCTTTCCACAAGAGATGTGGTCCACCTCTCCTAACTGGTCTCTCTTATTCAGCTTCCTGAATTGCCTTGCCTGAAACCTCCACTTCAAATCTCAGGTCTCATTCTCTTATCAAGCTCATCTTGTCCTTTATGAGGTAAGCCAAGATCTATATTTAGCAGCCCATTCTACCCAACTTCCATTTACTATTCCATGCGGCTATTTTCTGAAAATGCACCAAATGAGGTGTGTAAAACAAAACAAAAAAGTAGCAAAAGCTGAGCACTGGTGGCTCACACCTGTAATCCTAGCTATTCAGAAGGCTGAGACCTGAGGATCAAGGCTCAAAGCCAGTCTTGGGCAGGAAAATCTGTGAGACTCTTATCTCCAATAAACCACTCGAAAGCCAGAAGTGGAGCTGTAGCTTGAGTGGTAGAGTGCTAGCACTGAGCAAAGAAACTCATGAACAGCGTGCAGGCCCTGAGTGCAAGCCCAGAACTGGGGCATGCATGCACACATGCATGCGTGGGGACATACCTGCACACATGCATGCGTGGGGACATACCTGCACACACAACATCCCCAGATAATATGAAGAAAAATACAAGGGACCTGGCTTGAAATGGAACAAGGATGTAGCATGAGGGAGTTGGCTGGAATTCAGCAAACACCACGGGCTGGCTAGTTCCACCATATCCTCCAAAGTATGGAGAAAGAAACCTGGTGTAGGTAAGGAACTGACAACTCATCAACAGCACGGAACGGCAGGTGAACACCCAAACCTCAGAAGACTGGTATTTCTGACAAGGAGGGGAAATATGAAGTGAGGAGAGCATCTAATCGACACCTGACATCTATATAGAAGCCCAGGATCCCTAGGCGCCATCCAGACACCAATCTTGGCTGTCACTTTTCAGGATTGCTAAAAACACTATCTAAGAACAACTGAACCCTTGGGGTTTGCGTGGCACCTAACTACACAACCTGTACCTTCATTTTTTGGTTCCAAAAGGCCACAGGAGGAGCTGTGGCGGCCGCTCACCTCTCCTCTGTGGAGAAGACGAATTTTCTAAGCTTCAGATCCCCCAAAACGATGGCGGACTGGTGACAGTGGGCCACGGCCGAAACGATCTGCCTAAAGAGGCGGGCAGCCTCCTCTTCCCGGAGCCTCTTCCGGGTCCGCACATACGAGTGCATGTCCCCAAAGTCCTTCTCAAAGAACACATAGGCCTTCGTGTCCCCGAGGATCACTTCCACGATGCCAGTAATGTTTCTGTGAGAGGGCAGCTGGATGTAAGGCCGGATTTTGTCCTGGTAGTGTTTAATGGGAAACACCTGCAGAGAGACAGTGGGTCATTTTGGAGATGGATTAAAAACAAATGCAGAGACTGCTTCCCCAAAACCCTTTTGGAAGTAAGCTGTAGTTATCAAGTTTGGGGCTTTGGATGACCATAAACCCTATTCATTCATTTATTCCCTTCTCTCTTTCCCCCCCCCCTCCCCCAGCTTCACACTCCTGGAGACTAAGCCCCAGCTCTCTGGCTCAGGTCATTCCTTGTGACAGATAATGCATTTGTGGTCAAGACTGAAAAGCAGTCTCTGGCATCCATGTGCCTTCTGCAGACCCAAAGGGTTCAGCCCAGAAAGGATGAAGAATGCGGTGACTGTGTGGCCACCAAGGGGAAGCAAGGCCACAAACATGCAGAGCTGTCATTAGTCAGAAGGAAAGGAAGAGATGACTTGGAAGGAGACTGTGACATCGCAGCCTTAAGCAACAAGCCTACAGTTGTGTGACTCAGGTGTAAGCAGCCAGGCCGAGGTTACATTCTCACACCAGGGGATGGGCCCCTTGTCAATGGTCTTTTTTCTTTTTTTCCATTTGTTTGCTTATTCCCCTGCCCCCTCCTCAGCCCAGCCCAGCTGCACCACAGGTCCTCTAAGAAGCTGGCTGGCCTCTTTTAAGGGCCTTTTGTTCGGTCTGATTACTCATATCCTAGACTCAACTGGAAACGGTGACACACGGGTTGTCACCATCTGGATTCAGCTATTATCTGCTCGGAGGAATTGGAAGGGGTTGCACAATGGCCAGACCCACCCCACCTCTGAGGTGGATGGTCTGCCATCCACCGGAAAAAGTCTCGTCCAGTTCTCTTCCACCCTCCTCCCCACCCACCGCGATGATGATTCAAAAAAAAGCGTGTCCCGCGTTGTTTTCACTTGTCGTGGTAAAAAAAAAAAAAAAAAGTAAATACAGAACTATTTCGCCTTCAAACTGGTCTTGATCGCGCGTTGGAAATTTCGTGAAAGTGGACAGTAGGTGGCAGCAACAAGCTGGGGGGGTGAGTGGAGTCGGGGTGGGGGGGTCAGGTGAGCGGCAGGAAACCCAGGAGCAACTTAAACCTGGAGGTGGGGAGCGGATGAAAAACAAAAAGCACACACACAGGCTGAGCAGGGGGTTCCGGGGCGTGCCGCGGGCGGGTGCGCGGCTCCCCAAGAGCCACTCCGCGTGCGGCAGGAGCGCCCCACGGAGCCTTCTCGCGGGGTGGGAACGCTTACGTATCTCTCAATGGAAATCGCTGGCTGGGAACAAATAAAGTGAATGGAAAGCGTGCGTTCTGAGCTCGGGTGAGCTTTCCGACACTTCTGCTCCGGCCCAGAGCCGCTGTCCCGGGAGGAAGAGCGCCCCCCGTGTCGTCCCCCGACCCCCGCCCGGCTCCGTGGGTCTCCGCGGGGCTTCAAGGCCGAGCCGGTGGCACCGCGGCGCCCGGCGCTCCGGCGGAGCTGCCAGCTGCTCCCAGCCCCGCGGCGGCGCCCACTGCAGGGCGTCCTCCTCCCCCACCCCAGGACGGGGAGGGGGGTAGGCGGGGGGGGGAGAGGAGGGCGATGGCATGGCCCTGGAATCCGCTGCAACTCCACCGCTTCTAGGGAACGCCACGCGCCGGCCGCGCCGAGCGCCCGGGCAAGGAAGGTGGAGAGCAAGCGCTGGACCCCGCACGGTCCTCGAGCCCCCCCCCAAGCCACTCGCGGGAAACCCCTCGATCTCCAAAAAGCAGAACCTTCACTCGGCCCCAAACCCAGCCGCCGCGATCGGACCCGGGTCCCCCCCCCCGGGCGCCCCGACGGGTGCCGGTCCCGGGGACACCCACCTTGCAGCGCAGTTCGCGGCCGGTGTGGATGCACAGAGCCCGGGACACATGCTCGCGCTCGGCCAGGGGCAGCAGCAGGTAGTCGGCGATGCGGCTGGGCCCGGGTACGCCGCCGCCGCC